GATAAGATTCTTGTCTTAATATACATATGAACAATATAACATAAGCATGAAATAGCAGTCAAAGAGTGAAGTTAGTTACTTTAAAGCACTTAATAGCACTTCTTTCTGTTTGGTATTTATAAGCTTTGCATTGGTATTTGTATACCAGACCTCGTTGTTGCCAATTCGTCAAAGTTGCGCGCACTCTAAAAACGGATTCATTATTCCAGCTACCTATAAATTAACTAACAATAAGCTTAATCAGGCGATCAGACCTTTGCATCGCTATACTCAATGCGCACCGTGCGTGGCGTTCTCGTATACTGTCTTTGGGTCAAACCCATGCCAGAAGGTGGCGGATGAAGGGCACGCAGTGCCACAATCTCCCGCGGCTACAATTGCGTTCTTTTGGCACCACTCCCATTTCCGTTGCTGCCAATAGAAGCCGAAATTGGCGTCCCATCACTGCCCGCATCCACATAGGAATATGAGGGCGTTTCCATGACCAGCGGATGGCAAATTTCGTATACCGGTACCTTCAGACTCGTTTTCCGTACCCCGCCCAAGCTGCTCTGCGAACTCGAACTGGGCCCAAATGAGCGTCATCTGGGATCGGTGCTCATTTCCGAGTGATGTAGTTCGCTCTCATCACCAAACGAGTGAGCCGCCGCACTGGGTGTAATACTAGGCGTGCGCGCTCTTATCTTTATGGCCGACATATCCGAGCCGCGTCTGGAGCTCTTCAGCGAGACGCTCTGTCGGGAGCAGAAGCAACGGCAAATGATGCGCTTGAATGCAAAGCGGAAGTCCTTCGAGAAGAGAGCATATATCATGGGATTCACGGCTGAATTGCAATAGCCCAGCCAGAAGAGCACGGAGAAGAGCAGCGGATCTATGCAGTCCTGACAGAATGGGCGTATGATGTACATGGTGAAGAAGGGGCACCAGCAGAAGATAAACATGCCCACAATGATGGCCAGCGTTTTGGCTGCCTTGGTCTCCATGCGGAAGCGCTTCACCTGTGCCTTTATATTGCGACGACCCATCTTTTTATTGGCCGGCCGATGCTGTTGCGCATGCGCGCCACTCTCGCTGGTGTTGGACTGTCGACGCGCCAGATCGGGCAATGCCTTGCTTACCTGCAGGTAGCAGCTGCTGTCAGCATGATGCTGCTGCCTATATAAGTGCGATTCGGTACTCTCCCGTCCATTCGCATTGTTGTAGTGCACGGCAAACAGCGCATTGTTTGAGGGTCGACGATCGTGGGTATCCTGCTGGCTCAACTCGTTGATGTTTTCGGTAGAGGGATATGACACAGATATCTTAATCTTGTCATGATGATGCAGACGTCTCGTAGCGTATTTCGAAAGCCGCTCGGGCGAAGGCGTTCCCAGGGTGGTCGTAGTGCTCTGCGTGCTACCATTACTATGCATTGAGTCGTGTTGCGGGCAGCCACGTCCACGATGTATGCGTAATGTAAGACGTTGCTCCTCGAAGCGCGAGCCGATGCCCTTCGAACCTGTGGTCAAGAAACGTTTATTGAATTAGTGCTCTGTACTTTTATAGATGTGATTGTGTTCAACAAGTTTCAGTGGCTCTGCACTTAAAGAAATGTGCCTATATCCCTTTCTCACTCTTTCACTCACATACACGCTCACGCATATTGAATATCACTCATACGCCTCGTTGCACATGCTTGCCACATAGTTGCCAGCTGGCTTTGTTCCTTTCTTTTCTCTTATTTTGCCTTGGCGCGCTGCCAGCCTGCACTTTAGTAAATTAAACGCGTAATTATGCAAATGTTTTCGCATAAACGCGACAAGCACTTAACTTTGCCATCTTTGCCTTCCCTAAAACCGACAATGTGATAGTTCGACAGTCTCCGATGCAAAAAAGTTGGCTTACACGTATGTTAAAGTGAAATGTCTTGAAAAATAAGGCTGACTTAATGCTAGCTGATTACTAGAGAGCATAGAGGTCCCTGCTTGAATGGATCACCCAAAACATGCTTTCCTAGATTGGTTGGGTTTCTGACCTTGAATAAATACAAATTCAAAACAACTTCAATTCAGAGAACTGATTATACTTTTCTATATATACATATACATATAATAATAGCATATAATAATACTTAAAAATTTCCAGATTACGTTACTTGGCTTGATATGGGAACTAAATGTCAAACTGTAACATTTGTAAATATATTTCACAATGTTTTTATTTATTTAGGTTAATACATTTAAATGGGCCTTTATCTTTTATCATACCCTTAATTTTGAACAAACTATATTTCACGTTTTTCCTTCTTAGATTGGAAAAATATATCACTGTACTCTGTCTTTAGCTCTCAACTTTCAAATACATGAGCTTGCCAACTGTCATGTCTTTATGTTGCTTTCAAAGTGAACTTTATTTCATTAACACATACACACACATATGTGCTCACATCCATTTGCATAATTTACACACACACACACACACGCACACATATGCTGGCTAGGCCTTGCTTCCTCTGCATTTATTACTCATACGCACGTTTAACAGCTATATAAATTTTCATTACTCGACAGCGGCAAGCGCGACGGGCACATGTAATGAATAATCAGCACAATAATGCAATGTTGTTGCTGTTACTGTCGTTGTGCCACTGAATTATTAATAGTGGAGCCCTGAGCTTTGCTGTCGTGGGCACAGTTAGTTTTGCTCTCCGGCAACAGGGCGTATGAGTGCCGCTTAGCCACAGATATTATTTTAAAGGGCGAAGCAATTTAAAGCGGCGTCCTTTCAATTGAGTGCAGACGGTAGGCAAGGAACCGCCCTCTCTGTTCGATACGCAGACAAACGCATACATACTCATCCATGCACACGGATGAACTCATGAACTTGGTAGCACATGAATATTTGTTTGTGTATTGCCTTTCAACGCCTGAGTGGGGAATTCAATATCTTTCCTATGTGTGCAAACGTATGCCGGCCGGTTGGTCAAATGCTTTGGCTTTTGCTTTGATAAATAGCCCAACGGGAATGTTCAAGCCATCAAAGAAATTGTTTTTCCGTCCAATGTACCGTACCGGACTGGACCGGACTGGACCGGAGTGGAGCGGACCAAGCACCGGCCTGCGGTGACAAAGTAACGTGTAAGGCGCGTCTGGAATGCCGATACCTTGGGTTAGTGGCAATTGTTTGTAGTCGGTGTTTCGTCACATAACATAGCTGAGGTGTGCCTAAGGACGGCGAGGGTGGTGCGATAACTTCACAATTCTAAGAAATCGTTGTAATGTGTTCTGAAAGAGCTGGTGGGCAGCTATAATAAAAGAAGGTAGTAGAAAGAACCGGTACACTTTTCTGAGAGAATGGCTAGATTTGTCAGTACAAAACCCTTATTAAAATCAAACAACTATTGCGATTGCCTGTTTTAACTCCTGATACTACTATATTGACGTATTCTATTTGCCGCTCCTATTTTTAATAACTAATTATTAGTTATTATAATAACTAAAGAAACAGCATTGCTGGAGAACTAAAATGAATAGTTTTCGAACTCTAATGGCAAATGGAAAAAATAGTCAGACCACCCTCGCTAACGGACATGCTTAAAGAGTTTGCAAGTTGTTACTTTATTGGGTCTGCCTGAGAGACAAAACGATTGACTGGTTATATGTTTGTCTTGGCCACGGTCAATGACCAAACAAACTGTTACCTTGGTGTAGCTGCCGAGTCAGTTTGGATTCTGTTATTATAAATTACCTTTTTGTCGGCCACTGTTGGTTTTCTTTTCGGTTTATGGTTCTTGTGCATATACATACTTTTTATATGCTTCTTTTATTTAAAATGCACATGACTTATCTTTAATATTGGCTATAACTTAGATACATATTTATCTGTATATTATAATAACTGTGGCATAGGCCGATGATGACAACATAAAGAATGGCGCTTAGTAAGTAAGGATGGGTAGACAACAAACACGTATATAGCTAAGTATCTCGAAGTTATAGGTAGTTCTTGTAGTTGTAAGTACACGCATACATGTAAGTATGTTTTATTTTAGTTACTCTTTAACGCTTCACGCATAGTACATCTGTTTAAACTTAAACATTTTTGTTTTGTTCAACATCTCGTTTAATGCTAATGCACTTATTTCCTAAGTAAATACATGAAAATTATTGCCATTGAGTTCCAACGTCATCGTTCAATGCGATTACTGACTGAGTAGGTCTGCGTAGAAACCAAGAAACCATTGCCTTCGCTTACGTTCTAGGCATAGCTAACAGAATACATTAGTCGGCATCAGTGTTCTGACATTCCCGAGTTTTAAGTGCTTTCACAATTTTACAAAGTGCAAAAGAGTCTGATTTAGTCCTTGGCGCACTAGACAATAAAATAATGTAAAATGTTGCACTCAACTAATTTATATGAATGTTTGTTAACATTTTAACAGCTTTAAACGCTTAAACTCTTATAACTTTAGTTTTAAGTTGTTTAAAGTAAGAATGTGTGAACTAAGTATAAGCATAGTTTGTTTAACTATCGGAACATAATTGGAATGAAGCTTGAGGAGGTTGCATCATGGCCGATGATTTCTAAACCAAGTGTCAGATGCGTAGCCTTGCATTTCAGATTCGATTCGTTACAACTACTATATTAAAATATTTCCATTTACTAATGTCATTGCATTCACAACTATTTGACTAAATCAACGGTGCTTTTTGTGAGCGGTGATTCAAAGAGAATATTTGATTGCGTAAGATGATGGCTAATCGGCTTATATTTAGCTGTAATAGTTTAGTAACTACCAGAAATTGGTAGGCTTCAAAACGTGGAAATATGTCATCAAAAGAAAAAAATCTAAGAAACATATATGACCTTTTGAGATATACAATTTGTACAATAACCAATTGGTAAATAAGATTGGCAAGAAAATATTTCCACAGCATAATTCAACTGATTATTGCTTTCAGAAAAAGCACTTCTAGGGATTGATAGTTAACTCATTGTTTTATGCACAAAATTTACAGCTAACACATACGGATTATCTTTAAAAGCTCGATACATAAATAGTTATGTAGCTTGTCAGTCAAGTTGCAACGACATTTCACGGAAGTTCAGTTTAACGAGCCATCGAGGTAATACTAATGCCGACTACTGTACAATAGATACACGAGTACATGGAGGTACAACATAGCTTACAAAAGTACAAAAGCGGGAAATGCATTGCGTAATGTCAATCAATTTATTGTTGTTGTTGTTGTTGCTGTTGCTATTGGCTTTAGAGCACGCGCCCCTTGCAAAAGCCACCACGTCTTAGACGTCGCGTGCTGCCATCGCTGTTGCCATGACCGCTGTCACTACCGCCCTCGTTGTCCTGCAGCGAGGATGTGCGCTGCAAAGGACTCGACTCGTAGCTGCCTATTAGTCAACTAAAATCGACGCCATCCCCATCATCCGAGCAGCCCGAAATGGTCTTGTGGAACGTGGCGGGCGCCATGAGTGCCCGGGCGGCGATCATCTGGAAATTCTCGGAGGCACGGAATCCGCTGCGCGTGCAGACGCAGCGACAGACGATGCGCTTGAAGGCGATGCGAAATTCATGGGAGAAGAGCGCATATATAACCGGATTGATGGCTGAATTGCAATAGCCCAGCCAGAAGAGCACCGAGAAGACTGTGGGCTGTATGCAATGGTCGCAAAAAGCGCGAATTAGATACATGGTGAAAAAGGGCAGCCAGCAGACGATGAAGCCGCCCACTATGATGGCCAACGTCTTGGCCGCTTTCGTCTCCATGCGAAAGCGCTTGACTTGAAATTTGGCGCTCCGCTTGCCAGCACGCTTCTTAGCTGATGATTGCGATGATGATGAGAGATGAGCGCCGCCAGCCTCCAAATCAGTTGCGTTCTGTGTGGCAGCCCCATCCAGATTGAAGGTAGTTTCTCCTATTTCAAAGAGACTGGACTTGAAGGAGGCCCGGCGACCATTAGAGAGGGAGCCGGCCTTGCCGGCCCCGCTGCTACTGATGACGGCATAGTGCGGCGAGTGAGGCGGTGTTGAGGTGGCCTTTGTTTCCAGCACATTCTCCGACGAGGGGAAGGACACCTTGATGGCTACCTTTTCGTGGCGTTGACGGTTCACGCGCATTGAAGTGGCACGCTTTGGCGTGCCCATGGACTGGCAGCCAGTCAGCTGCAGGGGATCCTCATTGGCACCACCAGCACCAACACCGCCGCCTCCACCGCCTCCGCCGTTGCTATTGACGCTCAGCGTCGAGGACATGGAGTGTACGGAGAGCGGAGTGCGTTGTGGCGTGCCGCAAGGTCGTCCACGATGTATGCGCAATATCAGTTGGGATTCATCGACGCGATTGTTGCCTGACTCGCGAGGGCTGCCTGCAATTAGTCAGTGGAGGAGGAAGGAAGTCGTAGTCGGGGGGTGGACATAAGTTCAACACACAAAATTGACGCTTGCTGGGTACAAAAACATATTGTTGTTGCTCTTGTTCTTGTGGTTGTTGTTGTTGGTTATGTATTGGTTTGTGGTTGTGGTGGAGTTTGGTTGATTGGTGTGTTCAATTTTGAAAACATTCATTTTGGATTTGTACATGGACGTGATGACGGTTAAGTGATTCGATTTGTTGTTGCTGTTGTGTTTATTGTTGTTGTGGCAATATATATTGGAATTCATTCAAAAGGTATAAAATCTGAATTTATCTGCGATTATGGGATTAGCTTAATTAATAATTATTTGTCGAAAAAAACATATTCCAACGAAATGTGTCTAACATTTCAAGGAGAGTGAGAGAAAGAGAGCGGGAAACTAACTACGAACATTTACATTAAGATTAATTAATTGATAAATTTATATTGTAAGCATGTACAAAAGTTTACATTTATGCTACGAGCACAAAAAGGGACGGACGCATTCGGTTTCAAATCTAGCAATAAGTTACTTGTATAATGAACTCCCATTCATCGTACGTATCGATGGACGGGCATTAATTGGCATTAGCAAAAATATTTCTTTATGAATTTGGTATTTAAATAAAGGTTGCACTTAATAAGGAAGTGTAAAATATTGTCAGTAATTAATAAATAAACTTGGTTAATTGGCTTGAAGGTTTCTTTCTGACTGCGTTACGTGTTTGGAATGTTAAATGTGTAGGGTTTTTATTGGGTGTGTATCCTATTTGTTTTGGATTTGATTTTATGGTAATATACTTGGACTGTGTCAATTAATTAAATGCTGTTGCTAGAATTGATAGCCTCAAAACTTCGCTTCCTTTTTGTTCAGCTCTAAAGCATATATCAGGCAATTCATCCAATCAGACTTTTTTGGTAAGTATGTATGAAGAGAGGCATTCGTTCTAAGCATGCTGATTGTATAAACACTGAGAACTTTAGAAGCACAAGAAAACATTTTATAGCCCTAAACAACAACTCCACTTATATGTCGAACGTATGTAATGTATGTAATGTAATGTAATGTAATCTCATTTGCGAAACATTTTGAACATTACAATAGCAACATAATATCAGATTTAAATTCGCAAAATTGCATTCAATGGCGTTTAATTGAATCACTTATGTACTTAAGCTTAATATCCATTGGAAGCTGAAATTATATGTTCGCATTTTCAGGCACTTAGCAGCATGCGGGCATTTGTAATTACACTCGAAATAATTGATTCCCTTTCAACTCATTATGCTTACTTGTGGTAAGCAATTTGTTTCTCTAATATAATCTACTTCAAAATTTGAAAATTCAATTTGATTTGAGTCCTAAAATCGTTAGACGACCGCCTAAAGCCACAAATCCAATACGAGTCGGAAATTCAATAACATTTTATGCAACGACGACGACGCAAGGACGAACAGCAAAAGCGAGAGCACATTAAAGTAATAAAATGAAAGTTATTTTGCATAAAAGTGAAACATTCGATTTGCATAAACAATATTAACTTTATTGAAATAAAATTCGTTTTCCTTTTCGTCGCTGTATGGACGAACGTGAGCGGCCCAAAATGTATAAAACAGCGAGAACAAATAGCAAAGGAGTAGCAAACAAAAATATGGAGAAAGGACACGACATGGCATTGCATGTCAGCAGCCGAAACAAACAAGGCATGAAACATATGTAATCTATGTACATATGTAAATATACTATGAGGCCATAGATTGCGCTCCCCTTTCGATTCCCCCCTTTTTTTATTTGCGGTGCTGCAAAAGTTTTGCCGCCAAACGAAAGAAAAACAAATTTTCTGTTGTTGCTTTAAATAAATAAAAACGAATTTCCGCAAGCATGAACTTTTTCTGCGTCTGCCCAACAATTCGCATACGTATGCGTGTTATATAGTTGGATCAGTTGACCACAGAGACATTGTGTAGGCGACTCCCTCATTGCCTAAGCCTGTTACAGATCCTTGTATTTGCCTTTGACCGCTCTGAAAAAACATGGACCTGGGCTTATCTTCTTCCGCTTTCTGCACTCGCACACATAACCCAATGTAATTTTTTCTATACTTTACATCTTTAGCCCCGTATTAAATGCTGTCAGGCTATGCAAATTTGTCAGTTCGCCGATTTACATTCACTACGAAAATTTAAAGTTTCATTTGAGCTGTTCTTTTGATGGGACTGGTATTCTATAGCAATCGAATACTCGAATGGGTAAGCTAAGAACTTTATTTAATTTGTATAAAAGAATCAGTTGCTAGTTGATATATTTGATCAAATAGTTAAAAAACAGGCTCAACGTGACTTCTAAATACAATCGGGTAGAGCTTTAGTGTACTCTAGTATGTTTGAAAAGAAGTAATTAATTAAAAGAGTCTTTCGGAAACAGTACTTGATTTTTCGAATTATAACAATGATGTATGTTTCAGCTACGTTGAACAGATTTTTATATGAGTTGCAAATTATTGATTTCCTTTCCATTGTCTATTTTTATAGCCTGTACCCAAAGGGTGAAAGGCTATACTAGTTTTGTGCGCATGTATGTAACACACAAAAGGAGGCGTGGCAGACCCCACAAAGTATATATATTCTTGATCAGGATGGGAAGACGAGTCGATATAGCCATGTCCGTCTGTCTGTATGAGCGCAAGGATCTCAGTAAGTACAAGAGCTAGGATAACCAAAATTGGTATCAAGGTTCCTATAAGCCCTAGGCAGATCGAGTTTGTTTATTTTTTCTGATACACCCCCCCCCCCCCCACTCCCCCGCAATTCGTGTTTTTATACCCTGTACCCGTAGGGTAAAAAGGGTATATTAGGTTTGTGCAAAGTATGTAACATGCAGAAGGAAGCATCTCCGACCCCATAAAGTATATATATTCTGAATCAGCATGACGAGAGAAATTGATCTAGACATGTCCGTCCGTCTGTCCGTCCGTCTGGATGAACGCAAGGATCTCAGAAACTATAAAAGCTAGAATAACCAAAGTTGGCATCCAGATTCTCCAGGGAGAAAGGAGAATGGACGAGTTTATTTTATTTTTTGGAATTTTCCCCCCCTTCCCCCGCTACAGAATTTCGTCAATAGCGTCCACATTTCAAATGCTACCTAAACCAAACTTTGCACACATAATTAATATATAATTGTCTACTGTTGTATACAATTTTATTCAATTCGGTCAATTCTAAGAAAAGTTATTAGCAAAACAAATTCTCCCCAGTACAACCCCCACAAACTGCAGCAACAAGTTCGCTCTTCTTCTTCCTCTTTTTGCTGCTGCTATGGGCGCATATAACTCAGTGACGGAAGTTTACCTGGGTACAGGGTATTACACTGTCGGGCTTGCTCGACTGTAGCGTTCTCTCTTGTTTTTAAGTTTTCTTAATATTTTTCTATAATTATTCTACACATACATATGTACAGAGTTTTTCAAATACTCGCATTTAGCTTTTCCACTTGATTTTCATCTGTTTCTACAAAGTCTATTCCATTTGATTAATATCGAATCTAAAATCCTTTTGCAATTAATGTGCAATGTTGAATTGAAATCGCAAATATTGGTAAAACAAGTAAAAAAGCTAAAGTCGGGTGTCCCGACTTTGAAATACTCTGTACATATGTTTACAATAATTATAGAAAATAAAAAAAATTAAGAAAATAAAAAAAAAATTGGATCGATTTTACCTCTCTCGGTATTCGAACTCACGTAAAGGGTTTATAATTGCACATTTACATAGCAGTTGCGTCTGTGTGAGTGTATGTATGCCTATGCGCATCTATTCGTGTCTGTGTAAGCATTTTCGCAGTCAACCAAACAGCAACATCAACAACAGCCGCGGGCAGCGCTTGAGCAGCGCTGCAGCAGCAAATATATTTATGGCTATAACTTCTTGTTAAATCGGTCTATCATAGTGAAACTTGGCATACGGACACATAATAACTAACTGGGGGTATTTCCAAAATTTTAGTTCGAAATTCCAAGAATTACGGGAGTTACGATTTGTGGGGTAGAGGGGGGAGGGAGGGAAATTCCAAAATATACATTTTCTGCGTATTCACATGAGGGACTAAAATTTTGTGTTCTTAGGTCTTATAGTCTCCGAGATGTAGGCAATTATACGAATGGAAAATCGGAAAAATCCCCATAGGGGGAAGTGGGGGGAAAATCAAAAAATAAAACAAACTCGTATAGTGTACACACATAAGGCATCTTTGTGCAAAATTTGGTGTCTCTAGCTTCTATAGTCTCTGAGATCTAGGTGATCATACGGACGGACAGACGGACAGACTGACAGACGGACAGACAGACAGACAGGGCTAGATCGACTCGTCTCGTCATGCTGATCAAGAATATATATACCTTGTGGCGTCTGCCACGCCTCCTTCTGCCTGTTACATTTTTCAGCTCCCGCAAACCTAATATACTTCTGTACATTTCATGTACAGAGTATAAATATAAAATAACTTAACATTTTTCCGTTCAATTTAGTTGATTCTGGTACAAACCGCTTCCAATTATTATTCCCTCTCAATTATAATAAAGTGTCAGATTTTATTTTTTTTCATGCCACAATTTCAATTTGTGGGTTGTCAGTTGTGTTTGCTAACATTTTGCGGAATTTTAATTGAATGCATTTAATTATATTTGCGCATTGCATTTACATTTTTGCAAACGTTTTAATGCTAATATTGATACGCAATTCATATAGCTGTTATTTTAATTAGTTTACAATTTATTTAATAGCAGTTGCAACTGTGGTGCAAGCCGCTTACTGTTGCATGTTTTTAGTGGCAAGAACTTGACCTTTGAGTGGCGCACAATGTAGGCGGCCAAGATGTGTATGCCAAGTGGCCTTAGCCGCCTGAAAGTCAAGGTAAGTACTAGTCAAATTTTGTATACACATACACACACTCACATTCACACATACATGCCCAC